CTCCAAGCTGCACCTTGATGGAGGGTCTGAGCAATCTGGGGGCTGGGGTGAGTCAGGCCAGATGGGGGAATCGGAAGCGTTCTGCCTGGGCGCAACTCCTGGGGCATGCTGTCGGGGAATCCCTCAAGGGAACCATGGACCCACGCTGACCAAAGCCGGCTGGTAGGAAAACCCTGTCTTGCTACATGACTCCTGATTCATGGCTTTTGCCTCCTGGGGCCCAGCTCACATGCTGCCCCTGGACACAATCAGCTGTTTCACATTATTTTTAAACCAGTCACCCCCTAAAGTTCTCAGAAAACAATCAACACCCAAGATGAAGAGTTGGAAGTGTCAAAAACTGAAACAGCCTCTGCAGAAGGCCTCCTCAGGATCCTTCCAGGTGTCTGTCTATTCCTGAGAGCCCCAGGCGGTGATCCAAGGCAAAAAACGCATTCAACAGCAAGCCCTTCTGCTTCTAACTGATCCTAAAACGTTTTGTCCCACTGTTATTCAAAAGCAAACTCTTCTTGTGATATCTGTTGGGTACCCTCTGTGCTGGGTGCTATGGAGCGCTTCCTTTCAGTTCATATTATGACAAGTGCTACCCCCATTGCTCTGTTAAGGGACCTCAGAGTGTGGCCTCTTCAGCAGAACTGCCCTGATTCTGACACCTCCTCTTAGCTGTGTGGACTTGGATTGGGTGCATCACCTCTCTGAACTCAGTTTTGCCAAGATAGGCAAAGAAGAGATACTTCCATCACCATTATATTGTGGTGAGGAGTAAAGGAGTTGTTGTATGTATACCATTTAGAACCATGCTTGATGTGTATCAAGGGTTGGCTCTGGTTTTCTTTATATTATGTGTTCTAAGTAATCTTGCTGATAGCAGTCTATGTGAATGGGCTAAACTTCAAGGGATAACCATGCCATCACACTTTCTCCATACCCAATTTTTCCTTGGGAAGCCCTGTCTGAAAGTGTACATTACTGTTAACTAAACATGGTGGGCCAGTGGAGGGGAGGCCCTGCCCAATTAGGACTGGGGAAGGAGAAGGCCATTTAAGGAATTCAGACCTATCCCCTGACTCAAGAGCACCTAGCAGCATTCACTGGGCAAGTGAGTGTGTGGTTGGTTTGTTTGCACATTATTTGCAAGGTAACTTTTTATACTGTTCCCCAGGCTTCCTCAAAGGAGAGTCATCTGAAACTCAACCTTCAGAAGCCACAGATATTACCAGGATGGGGCAATTCCTGAGACGTGGGCATCTGCCTGTGACTGACATTGATCATTTTTCATAGTGGGAAGTGGAGATGAAATGATAAATCCAACCAGTTTGGGAAGGCCCCTGGCCTGCCCCACTATCCTCAATTGTACACACACATGCTCGTGCACACACACACGTGCACACACTCACAGCCAGGATAAATACTGTAATGCCAGATTCGTGGGATCCAATAGATCTCCAGGAGCCGAATCCAATGCAATCACACAAGCTAGAACCTGGACTCACAACCGTTCCCGACCCAGCGGTCCCAGGGAGTGAGTCCTGGTCCTTTGTTCAGTGCGATTGTATAGATTTTGAGGGGATACTCTGTGCGTCACAACATCACACAGCAAATCATTCCATACCACTGGAAAATCAAACAACAACTCTTAACATTGATTAGCACATTCACTGGCGGGAACAAATTGGGTAGGGGTGATTGGTTAGTACAAGAGGGGGATTCCTTTGAACTGATTGGTTTAGGCCACGAGGGGTGTATGTGCTAAATAAACTACATGGTTTCCCAACATGTTATCAACCACCATAAACTCCTGGGGGGTCATCTGGCATCCTCGGTATTTTTCCTGTCTCATGCTAGGGGGGTTGCTAGCCTAACTGAGTCAGGGATACCTGGCACCACTCCTGTTATTTGCAGACAAACAACTCAGCAGGGTGGGTATGTGCTTAGGAGTGCTCTGTGGGTTTTTCCCAGGACAAGGTCACGCCCCCTTCTTTAGGACAGGCCTTGAGGTAGAAGCTGGTTTCTCAAAAATGGAGTCACATCAGTTTCTCAATACCACCAGTTAAAACTCTAGGTGTTTTCCTGAGAGGGTGAGAGATGGTCTTTGTAAGTTATTTTTTAACTCCATTGGCCAATTACCTTTAAAGAAAATGAGGCTTTTGCTGGAGGAAGAGAAAGGAGTGCCTAGTAAGAGTGAAGATCTGGATAAAGAAACCCACATGCAGGCTTTGAGAGCTAGTGAAGAGACATTGGAGGACTGGGCTTGGGGCACAGGAAGAGTTGAGCCTGGAGATAGTGTGCAGAGAACCAAATCAAAACCTGAGGACATCCTAGCCCCTAGCATTGCTGGGAATTTGCCCAGCCTTTTCCTGATATTGAACAAATCATTTTCATTGATTAGGTCCATCCACACAATCCTATAACCACATCTTGGAACAATGTCTTTCTCACCAAGGAGGAGCAGAGAGGGTCATTGTGGCCTTCTGACTGGAGCTGATGTGGCAGGTACTATTAATTAAAAGATTAATCATGATCAGTAGAGGAGATGGTAAATCTGACCACCTTGGGGAAAGCTCTCTGACCAAAAATATCTTATCCATATAAGCACTGCATGAGAGAGAATAACTTAGCAAAAAAAAAAAAACGGAATCAAGAAAGATGCCAGATACCCTCCCCCACTTACTTTCTGGAATCCATGCTAAGAGAAACCCCTTGGAACCAAAGTTTTTGTCTTCTGTCAGCCTTGAGGCTGAGGACATGTGCTAGGGGGATTCTGGAGAGGGCAAACCCTAACTCTTTCCCTGCACCTCCACCTGCTTCTGTCCCAGCTGACCTGGTCCTGTCCGGAGATGAGGTGTCAGAGGCCAAGGTCACGCTCATAAACCCTAGACACCTGCCAGAGCCCTGACCTGCGTCAGAGTCTGCCTCCATCGAAAGGAAAGAAAGCAGCACGGGTGCCACAACCAAATCACAGTAGCCAGATGGAAAATATACTCTGACACGGGCCGTTGGCTCTGGGGAAAATTCTGCCAGTGAAAATTCTGCCGGTGAACCATATTGAGACTCGATGGTGTTTATCTTCTCTGGTTGCTGAGCTTGGGTTTTGTTTTTTTTATTGTTTCCCTCTTTTTCTGTCTGTGAGGTGCCCCTAGGCAGCAACAACCAGAGAAAGAACCTGAATGTCATGGGGCTCAGGTTTTTTCTGGGATGTTGAAAGGATAGGACCATGAGACAAGCACATTCTCCTGACATTTTTTAACCTTTTAGAAATTACTGATTGACTGAGGATGGTATTATGGGTAAAGGAGTGAGCCTACTACCAGAAAATCAAAGGTCTAATTCCTGATCTGTCATCAGAGAAGTCCTTTAAAGGCATTGAAAAAAAATAATAATAAAGGCACTGAATTTCAGTTTTCTTATCTGGAAGAAGGGGCTGAAATGGAAATATGCTAGAAATAAATTCCAAAAGTCCTCATCCTTCTAATAGCTCTAAGCATTTAACTTGGAGTTGGATCTTAGCACAGTACACTCTGGCCATCTGACTTTGGACATGTCAACTAACCTCTCCCTAAGCCTCAATCTCTTGAAGGCCTGGTCCAAATTGACTCTAGTGCCCTTCTAGTAGGAGAAATTATTTCTTAAGATTTCTCATGTAAGCATTAAAATTGGGAAGTAACCACAGATAAAGGCCCTTTGGATTTAAACTGGATCATTTCCAATCTCTGAGGTTCACAGGAATCTGGGAGTGGACTTTTTGCGTGATGCTTTTAGAAGGTGTGAGTTCATGGTCAATGGTTACCAAAGCAATGTATTGGGAGGATGGGTGGAGTGGCCTTTTGAAGATATGAAAAGGAAGGATTTAGTAGTTTCCAAAATGAGAAATTCATTGAGCAGGCATAGCCTCTTGGAGAAAATTCTGGCTCTAATAAGAAGTCGTATTGTATAAAAGGTCTGTTTTGGGGTCAAATCTAGGTTCACATTTTGGCCTCAACTACTTACTATATGACCTAGGGTGAATCACTCAAGCCTTAATTTACTCTTTGGCAAAGTGGGATTAATTAATTGGCTAAACTCTTTGGGTTGTCTTAATACTTAAAATGAAATAATATAAAATATGAGGCACATAGTAAGAAATCAAGAGTGATAAAGGAAAACTACCTAATACTGGCAGTAATCTGGAGTAGGCATCTGCAGCTTAACAGCATCAGGATGTGTCCAGTCCATGGCACATAGTAGGCACACAATATATGTTATCAGAGAGCTCATCAGTTAGTGATAGAAGAGCCCCAAGGAGTCACACTTGGGTATACACATGAGCACACACTTACACTCAGCAGATATTTAAGTTCATCCTCCCCAGGACTAAGAAGATGAATAAGACATCTGTAGACCAGTGTGCTTCCCCAACCAAGTCACAAGGAGGGAAGAATCACAGAGGATCCTGTGATCCCTGTAGCAGAGGGGGATTTTAAAAGGAAGCTGACTGAAAAGCAGATGCAAATGGTTGTAAATATTACTGATGGAAAGGAAAGCGAGGGCGAGGGGGTGGTACCCGCATGGTCTACTGGAAAGAATAATGGAGTCCAGGAAAAGGTCATGTGGCTTGACGGTTTGTGGTATGGCTAGGGAGGAAACTCCTGGATGCTACCCCTGCTGCTGGTTCTGGGGAAAGCCACCAAGGTCTCCCTCCTTGAGTCAAGAACAAGACCACAGAGGGCCTAACTCTTTGGTGTGTTTAGCTATTGTGTGGCCTTAAGTATTTCAACCAGTTGGCAAGCCTCTGTGATCCTCTACAAGGGAGGAGAAAGAATCGAGATGAGTTGCCCCACTTCACAGAGAAAGAAACTGAGGCTCACTGAAGACATCACCAGAGTCACACAGAAGAAAGACTAAACTCCAAGTCTCCTTTGCCTGGGTCCTGATCTTCATGTTTGAAGAATCTTAAACCCATGCCTAGGCTCATTTGTCAATGAGCAAAATATTCACCCCAAGCTACTGTGTGTCTCCTCTCTTTCCCTGGCACAGGAAAAACAACTTGAGGTAGTGCACACGGAGTACCACCAAGTAGTCCTGTCCACCATGCGGCCAGCGCATTGGTTTCATTAATGAGGTTCTTGGCATAAAAGTTAGCTAGCAGAGATCGAAATAAAACACACAGACTCAGTTACCTTTTTCTATGACCAGGTCCGAGACAGCTCCCCTCTCTGGCTCCAACCTCGAACCACCCGAACCACCCGTAGGGCAGCAAGGATTACTCAGGGCTAGCAGGAGAGAGAGAGAGAGAGCACGCCAGGGAGTAGCCTTTTATTGGGGAACAAGAAATTCAGGGGAGAATTCCATCCAATGAAGGTTGAGGGGGGGCCGCACTCCAAGGTCAGGGTCAGTGATTGGGCCCCCAGGGTCAGTGGTCAGTCACACCCCCACACGGACGGGTTCTCTCATCAGGAGAGGGCCGGGAAAGCTCCGACACAGATTAGTCAGAGCGCCTCAGACCCAAACCGGGAGTCACCCAGTCACGTGTGAGAATGGCTCTCCACAGTCCTGAGTGCTGGAGGGTTTGTTTGTTTGCTTTTAATGAAATCTCAGTGGGGTCAAAGTTGTGATGAAAGGCTCACGGAAGAGGTGATGCTGAACTGGAAGGGACAGGGGAAGATCATTGCAGGCCATGAGTGGAGACAAGGAAGTGAGAGAGAGAGAGTGAGGAGGCATCATCTGATAATAGTGAGGGCCCTCTGTTCTGGCCAGATATCTTGGGTGAAGAATCTTTAGGAAAGAAGTTTGCAAGACACTGGGAGATGCAAACCTCAAGCTAGCTGACTGGGCTCTGCTCTGAAGGCACTGGCCAGCCATTGAAGGTTCAGGAAGATGGAGTTGGTGATGAAATCAGTGCCTTAGACCGATGAGCTTGGCTTGGTAATCTGGAGAAATCTAAAATGACTTTAAGAATGCATTCTGTTCTCTAGTGGCCTGGGATGGAGGGGACGATGCATGTAAAGAGTTAACTTGGTTGCACTCAGAACGTTGTCAGTGGTAACTACCAGCTATGGGTTGAACCTTCATATGGCCTTTAGCTCAACTAGGGTGGTAAGTGCAGGGAGCCACAGTGGGGTCAATGTGAAAAGCTCAGCATCCCTCACACCATTTCCACAGACTCAGATCTCAGTTACAGTCGCCCAGGCAGCCTTGACCCCAATTTTCTCGCCAATGCAGGCTCTACACATGCAAGCTCTGGCTAGATGTGACCTGCTACAACCCAGTCTCTCCTCCTCCCCTGCAGTTTACTCTAAAGCCCTCTGACTTTCCATGAAATGAAACAGAAGCCCCAGCTGTGGTCATTGTGATCAGAAGCTTCACATACCACTCCCCTCCACCACCTGCTATTAGCCTCCACTAAGGCCCCTGCCTTGTTAATCCCTGGCAACCTCCACCCACACAGAAAGGACCCTACCAGTGGGGACCCTCCTTCACTAGCATCAACCTTTGGGTGTTCAAAGTCATTTCTGGAGGCCTAGAAGGGAAAGCGAAATTGTGGTGGTATCAACAGTCATAGCTGTTCTAATAGTGAAGGCCATAGTAGTTCTAGTGAGGTAGTAGTTACAGTGATTATAGCAGAAGCAATGGATCATCTTCTAATGATCATGATCCACTGTTCCCACCTGGAATAATATCTTCATGAAAACTTCTTTTCTAAATGCTGATTTGTTCCTAGCCTACAATGCAACTGGGTCATACTATAAATAACCCCAACCCTCAGTTTGGGTTCTTGGGAGCTGAGTTCCACGAGATTTACAAAGGAGTTACTTTCTCCTATGGACCATATGACCAGGCTTAAGCAACATTTGAATAGACGAAGTTGTATTGTGTCACCTCCTATCATGCTCTAGTCCCTCTCCCTACAACCCCTCTCTGGTTAGTCCCTCCCTCTTCCCCTCTGAGTGACTCCTCTAAGCCCCTCATTGAATCTCTGTCTTCTGCCCTGCTTAACCAAGTGCTCCAGATGGTCAATTCTCTCCACCCACCCCAGCTCACCATCCAGCCCTGCATGGAACTCAGCCTCTGGGTCACAGACTGAAGAGGCTCCTGCCTCTTTTCCATGGCTCCCTTTCCACCTCTACAGTTTGTACTCCTTGGATCTCTAGAAGTTCCCGGTCATTTCACAAAGGATTTCCCAGCAGAGGTAAGGAAGAACCAATGGTTGTCATTTGGATCTACAGCTAACAGGCACTTCTAAATTGGGGGTGGCCAGTGGATTCTTTCCCACTCTTTATTTCTGTTCTGTGGGTCTTCAGGCCTCCTGCTCACTCCACAGGGCTTCCTTCATGGATCTGAGACTCTGCTGATTCACAGGGTTTGCATGATACAAGTGTTCGTCCATAATGGTCAAACTTCCTAGTTTCTGCACTGGCATTTCTCTGTGCCTTCTTTCCTTTTTCCCACAGAATATGATGAAGGGGTGGGAAGACTTTGATGCTTCAAAGCCTATAGCTGCTGACAAGCCTTAGGACTGAAACACCTCCCAAACTGGCCTTATCATGCTCTGTCATGGGGATCCAGCACCTCAGGGTCACCTCCACTAGGAAAACATTGTCTGAGTCCCACATCACGAGCCAACCCCACCAAAAAAATTCTTGCTCCTCAAAGCACATCAAAATGGTACCAACATTTGACAGCACAGCGCGGATCATTTCTTGAGAAGGTGAAGATCCTTCAGAACAAGATGTGAAGTGCTCTCTAGGGTTTTCCAGTAATATTCTTTCCTCCCTGATACAGTCAATGCGAAAAAATCCACTTTCAGAAGGTGGTCACCTCCCTCCCACGCGCTCCCCATCCCCCGGCCTCGCTCTTGAGGAAAAGGCAGCATCATGTCCTCTCGCTGAGCTGAGGCCTCTCTGGTTTCCACTGCTCTCAGCACACTTGACTCACATCGAAACTGCAACCTCAAAGCGCTGGGGGCCAGGATGGCGAGAAGGAAATACAGGTGAACACACGCAAAAGCAGCCTGAGGAAAAGCTTTTGTTTCTCTTACAGGGTGGCACTTCCAGGTCTGGGCAGGAGCTCTGAACTGGAAGGGACTGATCTTGTGCTGATCTGGGGATTTCGCAGCGGGAGGGGAAATGCGCATCAGAACCCAGCATGCCAACTAAGTCTTGCCAAGGGGAGTAGTCCGGGGAGGGAGAGGCTGGGTCACAGAATTCTAGATTTGGAAAATATCTTAGAAAAACATCAGAAAGCAAGGCCTAGGGATAAGAAGGAACTTGTCCAGGGTTTTGTGGTACAAGGATCAGGACTAAATGCTGGGTCCTAAGTACCTCCGCCAGACCTCTTTCTGCTCTGGGATTGATTGATTTCTCTGTGCTCCCGTAATGCCCTTGGGCTGTGGAGATCTAAACCTCTTTTCCATGTTAAGTCTTCAGGTCCAAGAACAGGTTCATCCAAATCTAGCAGCTGAGCATTCTGATGTAAAAAAACAAAAAACAAAAAAACAAAACCTCAGCACCACAATCAGATGGACCAACTGCTTTGCTATACATCAGGAGTTCATTTAAGTACTTAAGTACACTCAATATTGCTATCAGGCCTTGCACATCACAAGAGGGACCATTAGCCTCCCCGATTGCTTATAGATACTGCAGCGCTGTCAAGCTCAATAACTCCCCCAATGCCACACAGATGGCAAGGGGTATAGCTGGACTGCAAATTCAATCTGACTCCAGGGCTCACCCCCTTAACTGTGTTCACAAAAAGGCAAGGCACGTCCCGTAACAGAACACTAGGATCTGGGCAGGGTTGATGGGAACAAAGTGCAGATGCAGGTCTAGCCTTTGCTGCTGTCTGAGCACGGTGCTCAGCCATTTTTTTTTTCTTATGAAACTAATCAATTGACTATTTGATACCAATTGACAACCACCCTCCTGCTTGAGGCACAATCTGTGATCACCCAAAAGCCAAGGCACAGACATTCTCTTTAATTATTTGGAGGAATAATATTTCTTAAAAAGCACTGATGTGATCATTGAAAGAAGTATGAGAAACTTAGAGGGTGTCCTCACATTTATTAGCAGTTTAATCATGTGTTCTTTTCAATTATAGTGCAAGGTTGCCTCTCAGAGTTGAAGGAGAGAGAGAAATGGGGAGATGGAGAATAAAAAGTGGAAATAGAAAGTAAAGCTTCAAAGGCAATGGAGCCCCTGCAGAACCTGTGCCCCTGACCACGCCCATCCCCTACAGCCTGTCCCCAGACCTGGGGGCCTCTGGAGAAGAGGGTTTACGGTAATAGGGAAGGCGCTGCAAATCAGCCCCGAAACTATCATGGGTTCTGACTTGAAACCACAAAGACTGTGTGTGAGGCACTTTGGCTTCCATGACATACAGGTGCTCACAGGAGTGCTGAACTAGGGGACCACAGTAGCTGTTTGGAAACTCTGAACAGAAAACACAGCAGTGGGCTTCTCCCTTATCCACCTGGGCCAGGTACCCTGTGGGTGGTCGCCTTCCCCTTCCTGTGAGACCACACTTTGATCATTTCCTTCTCACTTATCTTCATTCAGAGGGTTTTACATAATCCTTATGACATCAGTTCTCAAAGGGTACTACAGGGAACCCTGGGAGGTCTTCCATTTTTCAGCCATATATCTTTATAAGGCCAATTTTCTTCCAATGCTCCAACCAAAACAATATATTGGCTAAATGTGGGAAAGATGGGAGGATCCAGCTTTATTTATCAAACCAGATAAAGAGATTTGAAAAAAAAAATGTAGGGGCTGGGCTTGTGGCTCGGTGTAGAGCGCTCACCTCACAATTGTGAGACCCTGAGTTCGATCCTCAAGCACCACATAAACATAAATAAGTGAAATAAAGGTATTGTGTCCAACTACAACTAAAAATAAATATTTTTTTAAAAAAATGTAAAACATCACCACTCTTTTCACTAAATATATTTGGGTTGGGGAAATAGTGACATCTCATTTTGAAAACAGAGATGTATATTAATATGGAATGGGTTTAGTATCGTTGGTAATTCTAAATTGATGTCATCAGCAGATTTTTTTTTAATTTTTCAGTTTTGGTTTCTAACGTGATAAACATTGACAAATACAATCCATATAAATAAAATCTCTTTGTGGGAATCCTCAATAATTTAAGAGTGTCAGGGTTTCAGTAGTTTGCTGACTTAGGGAACCTAAGACAGTGCATACACCCACCCCTCCCGCTTCCCCCTGAGGTGAGGACTTAAGACCATGTAGATGGTAGGAATTACATGAATCCAGGGTTTGGGGAGCACCTGGATCTTCACCTGTAACCCATATGAGCACCCAGAGCCCACCAAACATATGCCAAACTCAAGGGGTATGGCTGAGGATTTAGAGTCAAGCTTAAAACCAAGTGGCATATTTGAGGATTTAGAGTCAGTGGTGCATTTTAGAGATCAGGATCAGAAATGGGCAGGAAGAATGGAAGTGCCCCCCCACTCTCCTCTCTGTCCTAGGTCCCTAGGAGGGATGGGTGCTTTCAGGGTAGTACAGTGGGAAGGTCAGATTATGCACATTAACGCCACTGATGTCAGGCCTCAGAGACAATATACAGTAAAAACACTTTTCTTTCTGAAAATATCCTAAGGCTTGACTATTTCCTTAAGACAAAAAAATACCTAAGCAGCCCTCACCTCCAACCTCATTTCCTAAACATGCAGCCGCACACCCACGAGAGCACCCTAGAGTCATCATCATTTGGTGGAAGGAAACTTTGTTTTCACAGACTTTCAGCTTCTCCTCACCACCGCAAACCCACACGCTACACACATCCTAGACAACCCCCCTGTTGTTGGTGAAGGCCTGGAGAATTCAGAGTGACTTAGTACTTTCTAAGACAAGGAATCCAGTACTGACTCGAGAAAGAGAACTGGGTTCCGATTCCGCCTTTGCCATTGATCCTCTTTAGTGCCTGGAAAAGTTATTTTCCTCCCTGGATCTCTGTTTGCCCATCTGTAAAACAAAGAGTCTGAATTAGCGTATAAATTAGATGATGTCTGAGTCCTTCCCTCTTCTGGCATCCCATCCACAGGACATTTTTAACAGTCCCACAACCATCAGGGATTTATCACATATGCCTAGAAGAACATTAATTCGTAATCAGATCAAATTCAAAAAAAAAAAAAAAAACCTGGAAAAACTATGCAGGAATAGATATAGTTTGTTAGGATAGCTGTTTCCCCCAAGTGGATTCATTCTCCACTTTACATGAGATGGAAGATCAACACACGTAGCCAGGCATTTCACGCTACAAAAAGTTTGAGAAGTACATTCTCCAGTCCTTCAGTCTGTCACCAAATATTTAATGAGACCCTTGGATGTGCTCAGAACTGTGCTAACTACTGGGCAAACCATGATGATCACAAACAGACATGGGCCCTGCCCTCATGGTGGTTATAGTCTAATGGAGACAGAGGTGGATCCAATGAGCACACAGCCATATGACATAAGCACTATACAAGGAAAGGAGCAAGGTATGCCGAGAAGACAGGTACAGAGGTCCTAACCTAGATGGGGAATCAGGAAAAACTCATTTGAGGAAGTAGCATCTGATCTGAGAGGTAAAGAATGAAGAGAGGGAGAAAGTGGAAAGGCAGAATTACAGGTTCAAAGGCCCTGTGGCCAGAGAGAGTGGATCATTTTTTGAAAAAAGAAGAAAGAAAACCATTGAGGCTAGAATGCAGAGGGAAGTGGAGTGCTAAAGCAGAAGTGATAGGCAGAGTCAGATGATAAATGGAGTTCTAGATAGTATCAAAAATATGGCTCCTCTCTTTCCAAGAGAAGGAAAGTAAGAAGCAATTGAAGAGTTAGAGCAGAAAGAGAGGCATGATCAGACACTAGTGTTTGGAAATGATCATCCTGACTACAACATGGAGAACAGTTTAGAGAATGGAGATTCAATTGTCAATTCGGCATTTACTTTTGAGTTCAGGAGAGAAGAAATGGTAACTTGAACCAGACAGCTGTTGCTGGTGATGATGGAGACTGAGAGAAGTGAGCAAATTAGAGAAATGTTTGTGAAGCCAGGCATGGGTCACCATTACTGTAATCCCAGTTCTCGGGAGGCTGAGGCAGGAGGATCGCAAGTTTGAGGCCCTTCTCAGAAACTTAGGCCCTAAACAACTTAGCAAGACCCTGTCTCAAAATAAAAAATTCAAAGGGATGGGGATGTACCTCACTGGTAAAGTGCCCCTGGGTTCAGTTTCAGTATGAGAGAGAGAGAAATGTTTGTATTGAAAAATCTGGAGGATCTGGTAATAGATTGGAATACAGCAGCAAATAGGGAGGAACCAACACGCTATTTCTAGTGCTGGATGGAGGTTTCTTTACTGAGTTAGGGAGCATCAGATAAAGGTGAGACTACAGAGAGAAAATGATGACTTTAGACTCAGATATAGAATCAACTACAGCACTTGGAGGATCAGTGAAAAATGAAGATACGGGGCCCCTTGCTCAGCAATTATTAAGGATTTCAAGACGGTGAGATGAGAGCAGAGCAAGTACAAGACCCTTGTATTCATGGGACCCTCTGTGACTGCAAAACTTGAATGTCCACTAGGCCATTCTTCTGGCATGTGCCAGGTTTGAGGTGCCAGCCACCAAGACTTGGGTAAACTAAAGTCCATCAGAGGAACAGTTGTGAAGCTGGGAGAATCCACCGGCACCACCAACTCAGGTGCCCATAATTATCCTAGGTTGCCATAGAGACAGAGAAGCAGTAGCTCTGGCTTCTGGGTGGCCAGCAATAACACCCAGTGTTCTGGACCCTGATAAGCCTAATGTCTTATATGAGAAATTACAGAACATACTGTTTGGCCCCCTAAGGAAAATCCAAATTGCTCGATCGGGTGCCACAGTTGCACAAAGGGGAATTCCACATGGGCTGTCCACAGATCAGCCCTTCCGCTGTGGTTTGCAGTGTCTGCCGGCCACAATCCTCGGAAGGTCACCCAATCCAGTTTGCATAGACTTTGCTTGATTTCGAGAAGGGACTAGCCCTAACTTGGGCTCCTCCTAAAATTCTAACCCACCAGGGCTTTATTCTGAAGTACCCTAATCATAAGGCCCCAAGTTGGAGGAGCCCAGAAAAGAACACAGCCCACAGACCCATGTCCCCTTGACCTTATCCAACCACACTGGGTAGGTATGATGTTCATGAGATCTGTTATAGCAAAGGCACCAAGAAAACCTCTGCCCAACAAGCTGAAGATTATTCAAGGGAATACTAGAAATTTCAAGTTAGCAAAATGTTTTCCATACTCAATGTCCTGGATAAGAAGAAATGAAACTCCCATTATCATCAGTATTTTTAAAAGTAAATAAAACCAAGGGCATCTAGGAGCCAAACCCCAAAAGGATTCAATATCAGGAAAGTTGACTCCGTTTCCCCCAAGTGACCCTATTGCTCTGCTAAAGGGAGCCAGGAATCCTTAACCTTCCCTTTATGGCTCCAATGCTAACCCACAGGGCTCCCAGCCTGGTCCCCACTCTTGGATCTGAATCACAGAATTACAGCAAGATCCAGGGCAACTATAGCAAGATGGCTGCCATTTTGCTGAGCATGTGGATGGATTCCTTGTAAGAGCTTGTGCACTGTAGATAGGACCCTTGAAAATCTATTTGCACACACACACCAGCAACTCTCATCTGCCCAATTCCTCTACAGCCAAAAATGGTGAAAACCAACTAGGTGGAGCTTCCCAAAAAATTATTAGGATTTCCTGGGCTGACATGCCTTGGGACTCAGATTTTACCACCTCCCTCTCTCTGACATCTAGCAACAAAGGAACTAAAAACAGAAAGGAAGAAAACACAGATCCCAGATGTCATGAATGTGATACCAGCCCCAGACTGCCAGCCTCTGGACTTCTTGCTGGGTAAGACAAAAAGTCAAAACCCTTTCTTTTTGAAGTAGGATTTTTCTTTCAATTCAGCTGAACACAGAAATTAGGGAATATTTTGGAGCAGGACAAAAAAAAAATATATATATATATTTTCCCTCCCACAACTTTCCGATTCCCCAATGTGTCTCCATTGGAAAATTTATTTGTATTTAATTAATAGGCATTTCTTAGTCACCTGCTAGCCATCTGGACTAGAGGGCGAATGAGACTCAGGCCACTTGCTGCCAAGGAGCTCACAGTCTCATGAGGGGCAAGGGGTCCTCTCAAATTCACAGAACCAAATGACACCCAGCCTGACACTCTAGCCATCCAAAAGTGCCTACTCTCTCACCTCCTTTCTGAACGGGCTGTTCCCTCATATGAAAACACAAATTCAAATCTCCTAACATGAGCTTGTTGGCATTTATATTTGAGATGTGGCTATAAGTTTGGAACTTTTCCAGATGCATTCCAATGACTTTCCAGATGAACAGATGTCCTCACAGACTTGAGATCTAGGAGTTATCTATGTTGTTTTTGATGTTTTCTCAATGTTAAGCGCCCATGGTCTTGACTTTTCAGAGTTCATACTTATCCCTTGATATCAATACTGGAGCTTAGGTTTTAGGGAATCTAGTACCTTCATTGGCAAAATAAGGACTTACATCAAGGAACTCACCAATGGTATCTCTGTCCATTTAGATGACGAAATTTTGACATGGGAAGAGCTAATTAGTTTAAATCAGTGTGGAAGGATCTACTACCCAACACACACCTGGAGATAATTGGCTATGCCTTTTTCAAAACAAAGAATTCAGATCCCAACTTCAGCCCTATTTAATGGGTTATGGATTAAAGAAAGATACAAATGGCTTTTACGCATCTCCTTTCTCCCTACCATCCTTAGCACAAGTGTATATTTACACATATATCTCAAATTATAATAAGAAAATGTAAGAGGTGCTGTCTGTCTCCCTCAGTTGCTCTCCCCGTCCTTCTGAGTGTTTGTCTATGCCCAGACCAGCTTCTTTGGTGTCACACCCTCAGCCTTGGTCCAGGCTCACAGGGGGCAGGGACACTCTGCTATGCCAATCTCAAGTGTATTTGGTCCCTTCTGTGGGCCAGACTTGGTACATAAAAGTTGACAAAGTAATGTTCTGCTCAGAGAGCTCACAGCTGTTGGGGCAAGGTAGAGTGGTGCAGGATTATAGATTTCACAGTGAGGTAAGCACAGGGCACTGGGGAAAAAAAAAGGTAGAAGGGGATCCATACTACCTGGGTCAGGGAGGACATCACAGCCTCACCTGGGATCAGGGACTCCTGGCCTGGCTGGTCTGTGGTGCTGCATCTGTATCTAGAACACGCAGGTTAGAGAGCACGGTGCTCCTGCAGGCTAAAAGCAGACAAAGCCCAGAAAACCCAGGAGCCAAGAGGGAAAGAGAAAGGTGAAAGGCGTGGAGAATCCCAGCCCTGGACCCTTCCTCTCTGCTTACTGGCAGCAGAACTAGTAGAAATCTGGAAGCAGCAGCAATTCTTGGGTTAACTCCATTCTAGTTTCTGGAAGATTCTTCCTTCTTTGGCAATGGTTGAGTTTCTGCATTGACACTCCTCAAAGGGTGGAGAAGAGAAGCCACAGTCCCTGATGCTGATCCACAAGTCACCCAAGCAGTTGAGCCCATGGGGTGGGGGCATAGAGCCTCTCTTACTTCCCTCCTTCTCATTCCAGACTGACTGGACCCAGAGTGTCTCTCCTCCTTGCTTTGGCACAACCATCTTCTCCAATGAGGAAGACACAAAATGCAGCACCATCAAAGATGCCCAGCACTGAAGCAGGAAGGCGAGGAAATCCCAGAAACCTTGGGGATGCCCTCCACCTGGCCAACTTGTTCTTTAAGCACAAAGCCCCCTGGCAGGGAAGAGGACAGACACGGCTGGCCCCTTGGGGTAGATGGAAAACAGATAAAGGGAGGACAAGTGATTTGCCCTGAGAAAAATGACTTGACAAAGCCTGGACAGAGCCCAGGTCTCCTGGCCCCAGTCCAGTGCTTTTCCAAGTAACTGTGTAAACTGGGATGAGGGAAGCCCTGTGGAAGGGCCAGGTCTGGTCACTTCAAAGGAGCCCCCAAGACCTTCCAGATATCTTCGGAGTTCTGATATCACTGCCCTGATCCTTCTCAAATAAAGGCAGAACAATACTCCTCATCCTAACCCCAGCTGGCTGCCCTGTGCACACATGCACACGCGCACACACACACACACACGCACATCTATGACTGGACTACTGTGGCTTTTTTGGGGAAGGGGAAGAGAGACAGAGAAAAGTAGGGGAGGGGCCCTTCTGTCCAGCATTTCATGGAATTCTGAATCATTCTCCTTGTTATTTCCAGTTCTTCCCCTCCTCCACCTCCCAAACTCTAGGCTGCGGCATAGAAGCCTACAACCAAAAGAGACACTGGCCAGACCCAGTGGCACACACCTGTAATCCCAGCAATCCTGGAGGCTGAGACATGAGGATAGTCCAGCCTGGACAACTTAAGAAGAATCTGTCTCAAAATTTAAAAAAAAAAAAATTAAAAGGGCTAGAGATAGAGTTCAGTGTCAATGCACCCTTGGTTCCAATCCCCAGCACAACCAAAAATAAATAGATAGATAGATGATAGATAGATAGATAGATAGATAGATAGATAGATAGATAGATAGATAAAATGCCATTTACATTAAAAAAAAAACCTGAGGACTTCCTCATCCAGGCTTTCCTTCTTCACATTGGGCACAGTATTAAGAAGGGTGCTTCCCTCACTCAGCACACAGGTGACACTGTGTGGGTGACAGGACAGCTCTGAACCTTGGTTGATGGTTTACTTTCTACCAAATGGAGATGCTAAGGGTCATTGTGAGAACGATCTGAATGGCACCTAACAAGCTTTGGGGAATGCAGACCACTGTTCCTAACATTCCCAAGAACTGAGAGAGCTGAGGATGTGAAAACTTAGACCTGAGAATCTCAATGAAGCCAGGATCAGAGAAGAAGCTGGCGCTCACCCCTGACCTTCCTGTCCTGTAGGAGGCCAGCCTCGTCAAGAGGTTGTCCTTAAACATGACATGAAAGAACTTGGAGGATATTTAAAGAAGGGAGGATATTTACACCACTCACTTTGACTTGGAAAAAACTGAGTCCAGAGACCTCAGGTGACTTCCCAAATCGGTAAGGAAAAGTCTGGGTATGCAACCTAGGTTGAGGGGGATCCAATTATTTCTCAATCCCAGTGTATTCTGGAATGGTCTATTTGTTCGCGTCACTCTGACCTAGGAACACGCGAATGGAACTCACAGCTGTGGGCCTCTGCACACAGAACAGCTGTTCTCCTCAGGAAGTTAACTTTTTTTTTTTTAATAGAGAAACTGAAAAAAAAGTATGTTAAAAAAGAGCCTCAAAGTTAATATTCAACCAGTCCTTTGCTTACGATGCAGAAATTAAAAATTTTAAACTCAACCAATACAGATTGGAGTCTAGGAAAGGGAGGGACTTGAATGAGAGAGAAAAAAAAAACCCTCAGGAAATTGACGGTGGCTTCACCAAGCTCATGATATAAAAGAGGGGACCCAGGAGGAGGTCTACACATCAGGGGCTTGCTCTTGCAAAACCAAACCACAGGCAGACTTGCAGAAGAAGCAGAGTTCCGCAATGCCCAACCCCGTGCTGCTATATTGCCTGGTCCTCCTGGCTGGGATGGGGACCAGCCAAGGAGAGAACGCCCAGTCTGAGGAAACCTGCACCCACTTCCCAGGTGGCCTGCCTCACATGCTTCGAGAACTCCGAGCTGCCTTTGGCAAGGTGAAGATTTTCTTTGTAAGTATTGCTGCTTTCTTTCCGGGACTGCCAGGAGAGGGTATTCCTCTTCCTCCTCCTCCTCCCCTTCCATCCCCAACACTCATTCCCCTCAAACCTAATTTCTTAAGAAAATCCACAATGGAGCCATGCCCAGATGATGTAGGAAAGGTGCAGGGAAAGCTGCCTAAGTGGTTCATAAATGCATTCTCTCCTATGCTCAGAAACTTTCTATAAGATTCTATGGAGATTGATACTTTATTGACTGGGAGAGAACAAGAAAGTTCTGATGGGAGGTAGAAATGTTCCACTTATTCTGGGGCAGAAAAAAACAGAAATTGCCTCTGCTTAGAGGGTCACCAAAACTTAAAGACTGAGATTTGGGACAGGACCATGAGTAGAGAAAACTTGCATTGGGAGAAGTTTCCCGTTCCTAGAGAGTTCTCAGAACTGGAGCTGGATGTCCTCCGGGGACAGAAAGAAAAGCAAAGAGCAAGACATGAGAAGGGATTCAAGAATAAAAGGGTTGACAAAAGCTATGGCTCTACGGAAAGACCAGGACTGAGTCCAGCTTCTGTCTTCTCTTCAAAATCAGCCTGATTTTTAAAGTAACTTGATCTGGAGTGGGAGGACCTGATTTAACAACGAGTTCTAGCACTCTCCTTTTTTAAGCGGGCGGGGACTCCACAGATCACAAATTGAAAGCTCCATAAATAAAAGGGCATGGGAAAGACATGCATCTCAGGTTTCCCCACACCTCCAGTTCACTGGCTTCTTCTGTTCTTACAGCAAACAAAGGATCAGCTGGATGACATGCTGTTGAGCGAGTCCCTGCTGGAGGACTTTAAGGTGAGAGCCAGGGCAAGGGAGCGTGCAATGTGATTAAGGGAAGGGAGGCGGGGTGACTGCAGACAGCTGGGTTGGCTTCCTTCACTTTGAAAAAGAGAAGTAGGAAGATCTTAACTCAGCACAAAGCCAGCAGCCAGGGGCTTAACAAAGGGCTCTATCCTGGGGGAGAGGTGGCTGGTTAAGGAAGGTCCCCAGGACCAGGGTGTCCTCTGCAGCTAGCTGCACCAGCTCTTCCTCCCAGTCATCCCCACTCTTTGGCACCTGCCCGCAGGGTTACCTGGGTTGCCAAGCCTTGTCGGAGATGATCCAGTTTTACCTAGTGGAGGTGATGCCCCAGGCAGAGAACCACAGCCCAGATGTCAAGGAGCACGTGAACTCCCTGGGGGAGAAGCTGAAGACCCTCAGACTGCGGCTCCGGCGCTGTGTGAGTAGCAGACCTGTGCACACCATCTCCTATGACCTAGAAGGGTTACATCCAGAGACACACCAAGACCTAGAGTGCCAGGGCTAGTTGTGAATTCAGAAAGGTGCCGGGAGTCAGATCTCTTGCTCATTTCTCTCTGGGGGTGGGGTGGGGGAGCGCTAGGCATTTACATGTGAAGATTTGCACATAGCTTTCCTGTTATTTGTGAGTCATTTGTGGGTTATTAACTACTCCCCTTTCTCTTTATGAAAGGGGCCCTGAGCTTCAGCCAGGGCTCCCTTGTCCCTTTGGACCCAAGCCTCAGCTCCCAAGGAGGGGGAGGTGTCACCCACCTCTTCTCAATCTTTGGAAAACAAGTCTCTTAGTGTGGCACAACTGGCTGACAGGATTTCTCCCAGTATTTCAGAAGGACCAGGGGACTACTGTCCCCAAGCAAGTGTCTGTGAATAAATCTCCCAGATGATTTATTTCTCCACCTGAAGTCGGCCCTTGCTGCTGATGGTTTGTTTTGATCTCTCACTGAGATTGGAAAATTAGTCAGTGTCATCTTACTGGACAGGGCATAGCTGGAACAATGTCTCCACTTCTCAGACACTTGGAAATGGTCCTTGGTGTCTGGGATTAAAAGAGAGGAGACAAAGAGGCAGGAAAGGGACAGTAGACACTGGGGTTCTGGCAGAGGAAGCCCATCACCTGGGTTCTCAAGCAAGAAAAAGACAAACATTTCATCTCCCTGGTTATTTCTTCTCTATCCCTTGGGTGGCAGGATTGTAAGACTGAGGTAGGCTCCATTCTCCCTGGGAGTAGGAGAAGTGGGCTTTCAGAATGAATCGGGCCCCCTCCTCATGCTACCAACTTGTCCCCCCAAGTGCCATGGACACAGGAACCGGGTCCATTAACACTTTCTCTTTTCTTCTGTAGCATCGTTTCCTTCCCTGTGAAAATAAGAGCAAGGCCGTACAGCAAGTGAAGGATGCGTTTAGCAAGGTGAGCCTGGGTGGGGGCAGAGAGGGTCTGCAGAACACAAACTCTGCCCACTCCTCAAGGGCAGAGGGTGGCAGGTGCTCAGCCAGCCTGTCCCACACTTGGAGGGGGTGTGGGAACTTCAGAAATGGTGTGAGCTCCTCAGCCAATGAGGAGCAGCTGCCTCGGTTCTATTTGTTTTCTGTGAAGTGTCTTGGGAGTTTCTAAATGACTGTCTTTGCAAGCTTTCAGCTTGGACGGGCCAGCGAGTTAGGTGCTGGGGAGAGTGATTAAGGAAACAGAAAGAAAGTAGCTCATCGGGAATCCAGGCTGAACCCACACGTGCAGGAAGCTGACACGTGCCTGTGCTCATGCAGACACACTTGGGGGTTCAGGCTGGATTCCCCTAAACTTAGAATGAGCAGGAAGCAGAATTCTTACTTATCTAGAATTGATTCAAGTTCACTTTCCTTCTGCCCTTCATACCTCCCCAGGTGCCTGAGAATATGAACTCCCAAACTGAATGGGGTTTCATACTTCCAACTGCCTAAGAACCTCTTAAACCCTATTTCCCAGAAGCTATGTGGTCTGTGCCCTTTTCATGGGCTGGGAACATCCACTAGAAAGGGCTCCAGCATCAGTGGGCACAAGTCCCCTAACAGGTGAAAGCAGCCAGACAGGGCCTGCTTGATCTCTTAGTGGGAGAATACAAATATAAAAAATTTCCTTTTCCTCATTGTCTTGCTTTCAAACTGCTTCCTCTAATATCTTTTCATTAAATTCTGCATAAACACTATGTGAACACCTGACCTTTAAAAATGTTGAAAAGACACCATTTGAAAACTTGCTTTGCAGAGTAGATGCTGCTCTCACTGCCTGCTGGCCTGTGAGGGCTAAGGGTCAAGGCCCAGCCCCTTCCCAAGGCAGCTGGGCATATCCTTGATGGCCAGGGTCACTCTTCACCTCCCAACACTAGAGAGCAAGAATAGCCTCTACGTTTGACTCCTGTCTTGCCCTTCCAAGTGGAGGGGGCCCCTTCCTCCACCAGTAGGTTTTAACCAAGTGTTTCTTATCTCCCTGTGCAGCTTCAAGAGAAAGGCATCTACAAAGCCATGAGTGAGTTTGACATCTTCATCAACTACATAGAAGCCTACATGACAGCGAAGATAAATAGCTAAAACATCCAGAAGGGCAACTCTACTGTACTCTAGGATATAAATTGGAAATCCCCAAAATCTGGCTCAGGGTTGTAAGCTAGTCAAGCCAGCTCCTTCGAAAACCCTGCTGCACCTCTCTCCTAGAATATTTATTACCTCTGATACCTCAGTTCCCATTTCTATTTATTTACTGAGCTTCTCTGTGAACTACTTAGAAGCCCAATATTATAATTTTTTCAATATTTATTATTTTCACCTATGTTTAAGCTGTTTATATAGGGTGACACCCTATGGTATTTGAGTGTTTTAAAATAAATTATAAGTTTTGTAAGGGGAAAAAGTGTAACTTGGGGAGCCAATGGAAGTTTCCATCCCAAGCATGACTACACTTCTGGCTGTTGAGCTGTTTTCCATGATCTCCCTCTGGTTTCTCTTGTCCTTGGATCTGGGCTCCTGGATTGCTGCAAAGACTCTTCCCCTCTTAGGAAGAGAAACCAGGCAGTTAACCAGGATTAACCTCCCCACATCTCAGAGGGAGTCCCCTGACCTCATTCTCCAACTATTTCATTCTCTAAAGCTGTGGCCAGCTTGTTATTTATAGCAACCTAAAGTTGGTTCTAATAGAACTCATTTTTAACTACAAGTAATTCAGTTCCTTTGGGAATGTTATATTGTTTGTCTGTCTTCACAGCAGATTTTAATTTTGAATAAATAAATGGATCTTATTCAAACTATGGTGTCATCTGACTCCTGTGTGACAGAAGTGGTTCTCTTAAGGCTTCCACAAGACGAAAGGAAAGGGGCAAACGAATGAATTACACCTTCCAGAGAAAGGAAGCCAGCAACTTCTCTAGGAAAGGAGGCTCCAAACTTGATCAGGAGAAAAAGCAATTCTCACTTTCAAAGCCCAACAGCAAGACCACCATGGTCTTCCCATAATGCAGTCCTTTAAGATGTACCCCTAACTCCTTAAGAATTATGCTGACTTTGAAGGTTAAGAAAGATTATTTTGTGGGGGTGGAGCTATAGCTCAGTGGTGAGAGCACTTGCCTCGCACATGAGAGGTGAGGGGTTTGATCCTCAGCACCACCTTAAATAAATAAATAAAGGTATCATGTTCATCTACAACTTTCATTCATATATATATATATATATATATATATATATATATATATATGATTATTTTGTATATACTGAGATCAGAAAGATAGACAGGCAAAAAAGTTTAGTCTTTTTTTTTTTTTTGGCTTCTTCAAGCTCCACATGCCCAGAGGGTGAGAATAAATCCTGAGAATTAAAAGAAAGTGCTAACTTGGCTCCCAGCCCTTGGAGATGATTCCAGTACACAAAATTTATTGTTATTGATAAGAACAATAAAAAAAAAAAAACTCCTACCAAAGGCTTTTTGAGCTGAAATTAGGGGCACCAGGGCTGGAGCTAACAGAGTAGAATGTGGGCCCCCCCTGGATAGGATACCCGGGACTCCAGCAGCCACTTTTCCTGTCCCCTCCCTAGCCACCAGACAAATGTGAGAATGGCTTCTGACTGCGGTCTGCTGGCCGAGGGGGAAGGCACCGTGGCTGGGGAAGCCCTACTCAAGGCCCTGTGACTTGGAGGAGAGAGGGGAAGAAGAGGCTGAGTAAACACTGACTCCCTTCAGGCTCTGCCCAGGCCGCCCTGCTCCCCCTGCTCATGGAGGGTGGGAGCTGACTGGCTGTGGTCACTTTTTCAGTAAGACCTGACTCACTTCGGTTAAAGTAACCATAGGAAGGAAGTGGGAAGCATCAAAGCTGAAATTCTGAGATGAAAGGTTAGAGTTAAGAATGGAGGCTAGCAGAAGGTGACGGGGGAGGGACAGACTCGCGAGTGCTGTGGCCTGGACATTTTAGGCAGTTAGGGCTCGCTGCCAGGTTTTGCATGCCAACGTGAGGAGGAGCTGGCACCTCCTTCAGGGGAACAGGCATCTGGGGAAGCTACAGAACCAGTGTTCGCAGCTACAATTCCTGGAGCACTTCTCTTGAGTGTGTCTGTGCTAGGTATATATTCATCAGATATGCTAGGGCATCATTATTGCTATTTTCTGTAAGGCGAAGTACCATTGCCATTTTTCAGAAAGCTCGGAAATACAAGATTTTTTTTCCTGTATTTTGTTGAGTTTTTTGTTGTTGTTGTTGTTGTTGTTGTTGTTGGGGTTTAATGATCTAACAAGCTATAGAACATATTTGAAGTTCAAGTTTTCTGAACTGCTTTATTAATACAGCCCTTTAAGCCATGAGTTGATCATAGACTAATCCCAAGGGATCCCTAGGCTCTAGACTTCCTGCTTCTAACCTGTTTGTGTATATTACTATGATACCTGATATTTATGCTAATAATGTGAACATTAATTAAAGCTATTTGTCGGCTACTTGGCTAAGGACTTGGTATCACTCTTTATTGTCATGTAAAACTATGAGGGATTAATTATTAACGTCTCCATTTTTCATATAATGAAAACGAGACCCAGAAAAGTTATATAACTGACCTTTGGTCATCCAGCTATTAAATGGTAGATCATGATCTCAATGACTATATTAAACTCCTAGATATCATTTTCATATATAAATTACTACAACATTCTTCTTTTCTAATATAATTCTGCTGTGTCTCATTGAAAATTGAGATACATATTCAGGTTCATTGGCATGCATCTATCTATTCTCATAGCTGCTGGGGAGGCTGAAGCAGAAGGATCATTGGAGTCCCAGGGTTGGAAGCCAGTTTATGTCTTTTTTAGACCTTAATATGTTGTATACCTTTTTTTCTCTCTCTCAAGATATTTTAATATTTTCTTCTGTGACCTATTGGTTGTTCTGGAGCATGAAAAATACTGTCATGACTATATTGGACACATGAAGAATGAAGAACTAAGTGTAGCATAACACACCATTTCTTTTGTGTTAATTATCTGTTGCAACACAAAAAAAGTTGGCCAGTTGAAATCATAAGCCTTT